CATTCCCCCCACTGACCACCAATGTAAGGAACATTCTTCCCTTTGACCGTCAGTGTAGTGGGGTCTTTCACCACCAATGATCATCAATTTTAAAGGCTCCTTCTCTCACTGACCACCAAACCAAAGGGGGCTCTTTTTCATAGGCCACCAATGTACGGGGGCATTACAATGACCACCAATGTACGGGGGCATTACAATGACCACCAATGTACAGGGGCATTACAATGACCACCAATGTACGGGGGCATTACAATGACCACTGATGTGAGGGGGCACATTACCAATGACTATCGATGTAATGAAACTCTGCAATTTTCACTGTCTGTGTCTCTTTTCTGGTAATTATTAATCATTCATTTCATTGTTATCACTTAAAATAATTTTGTGGTATAGCACAGCTCTGGGTGTGAAACGCGCTAAGCACGCCACATTCTTTTATATCTTCCGATATCTCAGCTTCTTCTTCACATTAATGCGCCATGACCTGTAGATCAATAATAAAGGGGGTTCCTTGAGACCTTGAGGTGACTTTTTAGGGTTCCTCTATGTGTGAATGTGGCCTTAGGGTTCCTCTATGTGTGAATGGGGCCTTAGGGTTCCTCTATGTGTGAACGGTTGAGAAAGGCTCTTCTAGCGGGTGAATTGCGGGTGAACGGACGTTGAGTGTAAGCAGTTGGGAAGGGGGCTATTACATGAGCCTGCTAGCTTGCCCTAACGGGGCACAGAACAGGTCCCCTTTAAGAAAACCAGATGCAATATTTATTGAAGCCTTTTTCCTATATCAGCCCGGGATTCAGCTTTCATAGACGTCGTCCTTTCATTCTTCATTCCCGTCATGGATTGGGGCTTTCAGGGCTGGCCTTAAAGCTGTGCAGTATTTAAGGGCTCACGGTCCGGATGTAATGGGTTTCTCTGTCATGTTTCTTCCCACAGGTTTTCAGTCACACGGAGCCGAAGCCATGCCTCTCGGGAAAAACGGGAAGAAGAAAATTGAAGACATTAATATGGTGTACAACATCAAGGAGAAGCTGGGAGCGTGAGTATCTGCGGGAGTCAGACAGTTTAGTTCTAGATAAGTGGGTCTCGGCACATGTCCTCAGGCCTAAGTCACATAGTCAGATGGTATGTTTCCTCAAAGTCAACACGGGTTCAGACATTGAACGCTCAGGAGACCAAAGCTGACCTCGCATGTCATGTTCTATGTACAATCTCCTACAAAAAAATGTCTGCACAAGGGGAGAAGGGGGTTCTTCTCAGTAAGAGCGGTCAGGGTCTGGAACTCCCTGCCACATGCAGTGATCTCAGCTAAGAGTGTGGAATCGTTCAAGAAGCTTTTGGACGATTTCCTTAGGGACCGTAATATACAGGAGGACAGGTACTACTAAGAAGGAGATCACACAGGGACCTATACCTACCCACACATCAGCAGAACCATTGCCTCTCATTGATGCAGCTAGAGAAGTAACTGGAACCATAAAAAGGATGGTTATCCAGCATTGCCTAGCAGGTCAAGCACAATAGTGTAAAATTAAACCCAACTGTGAATACTGATGGTGATTAGGGATGAGCTCAGGTTCAGACCAAACCTCAGTTACTCCAAGAAAGCTCCTTCAGCTGCCTCCCAATCAGCCATGGCCAGGGAATTCCCTCATTGACAGCTGCACATTAGCAAAGGGGTGGGATGCGGCGACATAGTTGACGTTATATGGCCATATGGCTATATTTGGTCAATTACATTGACCTAATATGGCCATGTGGCCATATAAGGTCAAATGGTGTCTTTTGGCTTCGGTACTTTGTGAATTCTTTTTGAATAACTTATGAGCATGTGCAGTTTGGAAGCTCTGCCTTCTCTCTGACTGTCCTGATCCAAGATCAGTAATGGTAACCCTCCAAGTCCCCTCAGTTCATGATTCTGGTAACTACTTGGTTTAGCTTTGCTATCTGTATCCAATGACAGGTTTCCTTTCAGACAATGCAGAGAAAATAATACCCATAGTCGAGGTCTCAGTAAATGGGCAATAAAACAAGCCCCCAATGACCTCTGTAGTCGCAGGCCCGGGGGAGCAATTCATCCTCAAATTTTATATCAGAAGCGCTGAAGTTGTTCGCTCAGCAGCTCAGCTCACCCAGCATCCCCTTCCCAGAAGCTCCAGTCACTCCTCCGAAAACAGCGATTAGCAGCTCCGCTCCTTGCTCCAAGCAGTGACCCAGCAGCTTAGCTCATCCTGCTCCCCTCTCCCAACAAAAAATAATAATAAAGTAAAACAATATAAATAAAATAAAACTTCCTGCTGGAGAGGGGATTAGTGTACGTGATGCTCGGAGCATCCACAGCTCGGAGCACCAGGAGCCTCTTCGTCTACCTCCTATAGAGTTAACAAACAGTTAAAAGAGAACTATGAGGGGGGGGGGGGGGTTTTTAAGAGGTGAGCGAACACATGGGCTGGATTCCCCTCTCCCCGCTCCGATCCTCCAGCGCTGACTGGCGGAACGGACGGGGGAGGGGGCGGGTACAGATGGATCTTCCTCTAGATAGGAGGAGCCAGCTGTCACTCACTCACAGCTGGGCGGATCTCGGCATCGATGTCGGTATCCGCTCCGGCGTCTCAGTATACCGCGAGCTGTAGCTTCCTATATACTGAGCTTAGGGTGACGGGAGGACGCTAGTTTGTGTCCTCCCGTTACCTTGAGGAGAACTATGGGGGAAAGCCCTAACCCCATAGTTCTCCTTTAACCCTCGCAATGCAGGGGCCCCACTAGCAGGGCTATTTTTTCCCATCCCAGAGCTGGGCTTTTAATGTCAGACAAACAATACAGAAATAACTCAAAATGTGTATTTGCCGAAAGATGTTCCTTTTCCCAGAAAAGCTGCGGCATGCGCTCATAATCCTTTTTCAGCCGTCTGCACTTAAGCACGGGGGACTTCATCGGCAGTCAGGGCAGGAGTCGGCGTCCTCCGGGGCCGTTCGAGTGGGATTTTCATGTTCTAAAAGAAAAAAAAAAAGCAGCAGAGAAGCGCGGTGTAAAATGCGGTGTTACCATAACCCCCGGCACGGCATCAGAAGAGCGGAACAACAGTGATACCACAATACAAACACGTCGCAATGTGACTGGGAACAAGCGGTTGTCCTGGCAACAGCAGGAAACATACACGCTTCACAAAACGGGCCGCAGAGCCATTGCTATAAAGAAAGCATGGGGGTATTATTTTATAAATGACAATCCGAGATCAGAGACCCTTGAGGAGGAACTGATGATTTTCGGTATGTTTAGTATTAGGGATTCACCGATACCACTTTTTTAAGACCGAGTACCGATACTTTTGATCAAGTACTCGCAGATACCAATTACCAATACTTTTTCTTAAAGGGACAGGTCACATTTTTTCTAAAGCAATACAAACTAATGCTTTAAGGTCACTTTCTTAATATTATGATTCATGAGATGACGAGGGAGCGTGACGCCGGCTTCCCGGCCAATCAGAATGCCGGGCGCTGCGTCATTACACGGCGCCCGGCTTCCGGATTTGCTAGCTTCCTGACCAATCGGGAAGCCGGGCAGCGCGTCATTGCACGCTACCCGGCTTCCTGATGGGCCTGGGAAGTCGGCTCCATGCTCTCTCATCAAAAGTGACGAGAGAGCATGGAGCCGTTTCCTGGCCAATCAGGAAAACCGGGCAGCGTGTAATGATGCGCTGCCCGGCTTCCTGATACAGGAAGTACTCGTGCTAGGTATCGGAGCATTTGGGCGAGTACGAGTACTCACCCAAATACTCGGTATCGGCACCGATACCAATACTAGTATCGGTATCGGTGCATCCCTATTTAGTATCATACCTCCCTGACGTCTTAAAGGGTATCTAAACCCAAAAACAAAAATATAAAAAATTGTGGCTCACCAGTCCTTAAAATAGCCCGTGCAGCCAGGGCCGGATTGTGAATAGCCCGTACTGTACAGCCAGGGCTGGATTTCCCACCAGGCCAACCAAGGCCCGGTCTTGGGGCAGCAGGGAGTAGAGGGGCAGCAGGGAGTAGAGGGGCAGCAGGGGTGTGGGATTCCTATCTCCCGGTGCCTGAGACATGCATTTCCGGGCGCCGGGCGGGTAGTTGTGTTCTATATTTAGCCTGGCTTTGGGCAAGCAGAGCTAAATGTACATCGGGGAAGCCGCCGCTTGTTTTGTACAAGTGCTTCCGGTGATGTTGCCAAGATCACTTGCATGCAACGTGAACCAAAGGGCTCCGTCGGCTTAAGAGAGCCGAAGGTTCAGCCGAAGCTACGCCCGCATGCTTCGCCTCCTTAGTGAATAACCCCCTA